GTTTATATGATTTTCTTGGGAAGGGAAAATTTAAAACGAATAGAAAAACACTCAACTTCTTTAACATTAGACAACTGTAACAGACCACAGAAAAATTTAAATTTATACAGAATAGGTCAATCCTGAAAAACACTGTGGGCTCAAAAGAAATTAATGTCCCTTCAATCCTTTTCTATAACAGAGATGTTTTTGCTGAACATATACATACAAATCAAATGTTTTCTTCTAAAGGCATAAGCTACATCTTAAATCTTTAGTTAGACGTTTGCATTTAATCTAATGCTATTTTAGGTTTAACATGTTTTTTAAAATACTCGTGGTAAAATGTTAACAATTTAATCTGTTTGTGGCTATATTCTTAGTACTCAAAACAATGCCTGTATTTTTAAGTAATGTCAATAAAAATGGATGTATAGAAAAAAAAAAAAAGGCTAGTACTGTACTTTCTGTCTTTCTTTTTTTTATTTTTTGAGATAAAAGTCTTGCTCTCTTGCCAGGGCTGGAGTGTAGTGGCGTCATCACAGTTCACTGCAACCTCAAACTCCTGGGATCAAGCGATTCTCCTGCCTCATCTCCCAAGAAACTGGGATTACAGGCATGGGCCACGTGCTTGGCCACTACTACTGTTTTCAATAAAGCCTAAATCACTCCAGCACTTAATATAAATGAACTATGTATTTTCCCCCAACCACTTGGATATAAGGACAGTTATTTAAGTCACACCAAACAAACAAAGCACCATAAAGTGTTGCAACGTGGTTTAAAATTTTCAAGTATCAAGAAAGAGTAATCCAGCTATTTCATGTTCCATCTTGGATATATTTATGTTTAAGAATGTGAATTTTAAAATAGATACCAACTTAGTTTAACTCCATCATAAATATATTTTAAATCTTTAAATTCCTGTTTCTTAAACACTCATGTACTTTTATTTCATAATGCATGATCGAGATTCTCTCATGTGGATTTCAACTGTAATCCCTAGAAAATAAAATTCAAAATTTACCAATGACTTTTATTTTAGAATACCGTGTGTGTGTATATATATATAATATTTATATCAATCACATAGAGTTTTAATCAAAACTAGCTTTATAAATTCAGTATGTGCAAACACCCACCTAATAATACAAGAATGGTATGAAATTTATATGCATGAAAAGAAAATTCTCTGAACACATTCACTTATTAAAGAAGAAAGATGAAGGTAAAGAAATAATATAAATAGTATTAAGTAAAATGTTTATAGTTACAAATGCCAAATTTAGTAAGATAGTTAAGTTAAATTACTCTTTTACTTCTAACAATAAATGTTTAAAGGAATGTATGAGTAATGCTTTTTGAATCACTTAGTCATATACTCTAACTAACATTTTGCCTTTGTACAGTTTGTGCTTTTCATTTTTACATTTGTACCATCTTTTTGTTGAAAATTATAGCTTCTACTTACATAGTTTACCCATCACTTAAAATGATTTTCCCCACATTTTCAAGACACTTTATAATTTCAGTAGGGTGAAGATTTTCCAGAGTTTTCAAATCCATTAATTATATAATTTATTAATCTTCTTGGACTTTTTACAATTAAATAATTATAGATTTAAGTACATAATTTTAATAACATTTACAATGTAAGCCTCTTTTTATTTTACATTACCTCTAAAAGCATTTGAATCTTTGTAAATAAAAGTAAATTATTAAGAAATAGTAAGAAGTAAATTCAGCCATCTTGTATGGGCAATAGGTTTTCATTTTTCTTTTTAAAAAATGCCTATAATGAGATATCAAAATTAGGAAATGACATCTTTTTTTCATTAGGCATGTAATTATTTTACAGAACGTATTGACTTCCCTAGATCACACCAGCTTAAAAGAGGGCTGAACCCCCAAACACAAAACAATCAAAAGATTGTAATGCTTGTACCTCATACTTTCTAAACTGGCTTTGGACTAGTCAACGCTTGTTCACACTTCATTTCATTTTATTGTCTTTTTATGAAAATGAAAGTTTCCCACTACTTGGTAACATCCACATTATAAATATAACCTTCCTACTCCAGAGCTATAATTTGAATCTTGACTGCCACTCCTGTTATTCAACTGTCATCTTCTTTATATGATGGAGAAGAGCATCTTTTTCCAAGTGAGCCTCTGCAAGAGCCATTTTAGCTTTAGCCAGTTCCTGTTTAAGAGATTCATTCTCTTCCATGAGCTGAAATAATAAATTGAGAAAACAAAGAGAATTTATATCATTTTCAGAAAATACAGACCATATATAGTATACAAAGGTGTGATACTTAAAATAGTAAAAATAGCCAATGCTGGTGAGGGTCCACTCAAGCTGAAAATTACTTTGAGAAGCTATTTGGAAACATGTATTTTAAGCACGTAAAAATGATCCTCTATTTTGATCCAGCAATTCAAAATACTAACTCCTAATTTCCAAATGTAATAGTGATTTTGTTTCATATTAATTTCCCTGGACTTTCTGTGGCTACAGACAACGCTGATCTACCTCTACTTCCTAAAGCTCTCCTGGCTTTTCTGCCACGGCCATTCCATGCTTCTCTCTCACAACCTATGCCCTTTTCATCTTTTCTTCTGTTTTTTTAAGAACCCTTAAATTTTGATATTGTTAGATTCCATAGTTGGTCGTCTTCTCTTGTCATTTGAGTCACTCTCTTGGATGATCTCATCTCCTCCCACGGCTCCAACTACCATAATAGATAGCCTGATCTAGCACAAACCTTTCTCCTGAGCTCCAGGCTCACATTCTGAATATCCATTAGACATTTTCATCTAGATGGCCAATAAGTCTGCCTTCCTCTCTTTAAGACTTAGACCAGGTGCGGGGGGCTCACGCCTGTAATCCTAGAACTTAGGGAGGCGGAGGTAGGAGGATCACTTGAGACCAGGAGTTCAAGATCAGTCTGAGCAACACAGCAAGATCCCATCTCTACAAAAAATAGAAAACTTAGCCTGGCGTGGCGGCACATGCCTGTAGTCTCTGCTACTTGGTAGGCAGAGGCAAAAGAACTGCTTGAGCCCAGGAGTTGGAGGTTGCAGTGAGCTATGGTGACGCCACTGCACTCTAGCCTGGGTGTGCACACACACAAAAAAGACTTAGTTCAAGTATTTTATTCTCTTAGAGCCATTTCCTAACCCCTAAGTGTGAGGATACAGCAAAACTAAGGACTTTCTGCATTTACAAAGATTTATTAATATGTATGCATTTAATTTCAAAGAGTTCTCAGACTTCTTTAATCCCGGCTTAAGAATTCGGGCCTTACAGACCAACTAAAATACTTTCCTATACTTGCCCCAATCCATAGTACAGCACCTGGCACAGCATGTATGAACACTGATTGCACACTCTTGGCTTTCCCACTGCATTGACTTCTTCGGCAGAATAGGGATGGTATATTGCTCCATTCCATATCCCTACTTCAGAGTAGGCAACCAATAAATCTTTGTTGAACAGATAAAGTAACTTACTCTGTGGTTCTATCATAGAGAATTGAAACTCTGCTGAACATTTTGTTTATTTATAATGGTAAAAAATCAGAAGCAACTCGAATGTTAGCAAATATTAACAGGAAGGTTGAGAAATGTTAGCACATCTACATCCATATTAGTCAGCCATAAAAATAAATATGGGACAAATGTAGCAATATGAAAAAATATTTCTTAAATAACGTTAAGTAAAATAATATGGTATATATACTTGAATATTAATTGCTAAAAGAAATGGAAAAGAACCTGTGAGGAAAAATCACAAAAATATTGATAGCACTACAGGAAAGCAGAAGAAATTAAACTTGTTTTCTTTATCTTGCTCAACATTATAACCGCAACATCTAGCACAGCACCAGGACACAATAACAGGCATTCAATACATTTTATTTAAATGAGTAAACAATGTGTTAACTATTAGTATCTTAATATTTAGTTATTTTAAATGCAAAAATTGATTCCGAATTAGGTTTTCCATTACCTGTTCCCTAGAAAAGTCAAAGGAGCATTCAGGAAAGTTAACTGACTGAGGAGGCCACGGAACTTCTGGACTTGTCTGAGTGGCTTGAGTAACACTGCGCTGTTTCTTCAGATCATACTTTCCGCTGGTCAGTTCCACTGAATCACTTTTGACATTTTCTTTCAAATCATTTTCAGTGTTAAGCATATGAGAATCTGATCAAACAAATAAAATGCTCAGATAACATTTCCGGGTATTTGATAAATCTTTAAAAGTTCTATCATGTACTGTATAAGAAAGACACCTGCACCCGAATGTTTATAGCAGCACAATTCACAATTGCAAAGATGTGGAAACAACCCAAGTGTCCAT